CTGGCTTCTACAAGTATAGAGAAATGTCAAGAACGTTAAAAACCGGTCAGCATGGTAGGTTTTTGCATCGAGAACCTACGGTGTTCACCGGTGGAGAGACACTACTGGGTTCTACTAGCATAGAAACAGTTGAAGAACGTCAAAAACCAGTCATCACCGTAGGTTTCCGATATAGGAATCTACGGTGATGACCGGTTTTTGGTATAATTCAGCTGTCTCTATGTTGGTAGAAGCCGGTAGTGCTTCTCCACCGGTCATCACCGTAGGTTCTTGGTGTAGGAACCTACGGTGATGAACGGTTTTGACGTTATTGAGATTTCTCTATACTTGTAGCAGCCAGTAGCGACTATCTACTGGTCATCACCGTAGATTCTCGATGCAGAAACCTGCGGTGATAATCGGTTTTTGATGTTATTTAGCTGTCTCTATGCTAGTAGAAGTCAGTAGTGCCTCTTCACCGGTCATCGTGGTAGGTTTCAGCATCAGGAACCTACGGCGATGATCGGTTGCTGGCGGTATTGAGACGTTTTATTGTAGTAGAAGCGAGTAGGGCCTCTCCACAGGTCGTCACCATAGTTTTGTCATGTTCTCACCAGCTTCACAAGTAGTCTTACCGCTCCTATCCCAAGTGTAAGGGCGCGTCGTTTCCCATGGAATACTGTAATTAAGAAGAAGCTCCAACCATCAATGTTGAAATCGGTGAAGCCAATTAACGCATCAGGAGCCTATGGTGATGGGTGGGTTTTTCTTTTATTCACATGGTTTTCTGCTAAGAGAAGCCAGCGGTACTAATACATGGGTCATTACTGTAGGTTTTTCATGTTCTCACGGACTCCAGAAATAGAGATGAAACGGTGACGATCATTCACTGGTATACCATCAATGTTTCATCGATCCAAATCGATAACTGTAGGTACGATTATCGGTCTCCTACGATAGCCATAGGTATGGCTACCGATCCAAGTCGGTTTTCGCCAGGAAAACGATTTTTTAAGAAAACGACGGTCGTTTATCAAGCCAGACGAAAGTAAACGGGTCTCGGGAATCCGAATCTGGAGTGAGTTTTTCGAAATTCGATACTCGACTCTTTCGCTAAAGAAAGGATTTTTGCGGGAAATAGTGATTGTTAATAAACTGCTAGAAAAGATAACTGGGGTCGAGAAAACAAAATCTGAAATCACATTGTCGAGATATTAAGTGCAATATTTTCAACAAAAAAAAATTGTTTTTCTAAAAAATCATATTTTTGGTATGAAACTTTATTCCACAAAAAAACCGTTTGTTTGCTAAAAAGTTTTTTCAGAAAAAAATCATGTAAAAAAATCGAGTACTAAATTTCGAAAAAGTGATTGCAGATTTGGATTCCTCGACCCCGATTTACTTTCGTCAACCTTTATAAAAAATCATTATTTTCTCAAAAAACACTTTGTTTAGTGGAAAAATCGAGTGAGGAATTTTGAAAAACTGATTGCAGATTCGGATTCCTCGACCCCGATTTACTTTCATCAACCTTTATAAAAAATCATTATTTTCTCAAAAAACACTTTGTTTAGTGAAAAAATCGAGTACAGAATTTTGAAAAACTGATTGCAGATTCGGAATCCTCGACGCCGATTTACTTTCGTCAACCTTTATAAAAAATCGTTATTTTCTCAAAAAAAAACGTTTTTTAGTGAAAAAATCGAGCACGAAATTTCAAAAAACTGATTGCAGATTCGGAATCCTCGACGCCGACTTACTTTCGTCAACCTTTATAAAAAATCATTATTTTCTCAAAAAACACTTTGTTTAGTGGAAAAATCGAGTACCGAATTCCGAAAAACTGATGTAACACAAAGGCAATAAAAATCGACCGGTACTATGGTGGATCGGTGGACGCTGCACCGGCACCGTTGCATCCCTAGACAGAGGAATACAAAAAAAATGACCGGTGCACCGTCACCGGTGCATCCCTACCAGTAACCGTAGATATGGCTATCGGTTTCGACCGGTGAAATGACTTTCACCGTTGTATTTCTAGTTAATATCAATACTGTCCATATAGAACTACGAAAATTTGCGGTGATAACCGGTTTCCGCTATCACTCAAACAACATAAGACTCAATGCATCCAGCAGTACTAATACGCCGGTATCCATTATGGCTTTTTATAACCTTATCGGCTTGATTCTCTGCTTCACTCCAGAGTTCTGATCAGTATTTCCCGAAACTAATTAGGACAAGGGATTACTTCTTATCAGAAAATAAAGTGCTCGAGTTTCTAAGATGTATCGTGTAGGAGAGACACCGAAATACAAAAAAGTGACCGGTGCACCGGTAGACCGGTGAGACCGGTGAGCGGTGAACCGTCACCGGTGCATCCCTAGTACAGATATAATAACAATCAACTCTCAATACGTACTCCAATTACATAGATCTAGACTGCCCTTCTATGTCTTATAAACTTTTGTTCAATGTCAATTGATGAATTAAGGAATTGCGTAAATTGATAATTCTAGTGACCATGCATTATTTCATATTTTTCATTTTGTCAGACTCATGGCCAAGCGAGAAGACATGCTCTATATGATAGAACATTCGATTCTGAATCGAATGATATAGTACTTCTCTCTCGGCTATGAGGTTGATACCCCATAGTACCATTACCAAATTGGTCATTGTAGTGACCATACATTATTTCATATTTTTCATATGGTGAGACTGAAGGCCGAGAGAGAAGATATGATCTATATGATAAAGCATTCAATTCTGAATCGAATGATATAGTACTTCTCTCTCGGCTATGAGGTGGACATCTCATTATACCCTTTGCAAATTGGTCGTTGTAGTGACCATACATTATTTCATATTTTTCAAATGGTGGGACTCATGGCCGAGAGAGAAGACATAGTCTATGTGATAGAGCATTCAATTCTGAATCGAATGACATAGTACTTCTCTCTCGGCTATGAGGTGGACACTCTATAGCACCATTAGCAAATTGGTCATTCTAGTGACCATGCATTATTTTACAGTTTCCATGTTGTGAAACTCATGGCCGAGAGAGAAGACATGGTCTATATGATAGAACATTCAATTCTGAATCGAATGATATAGTACTTCTCTCTCGGCTATGAGGTGGACACCCCATAGTACCATTACCAAATTAGTCAATGTAGTGACCATGCATTATTTTATATTTTTAATGTTGTGAAACTCATGGCAGAGAGAGAAGACATAGTCTATATGATAGAACATTCAATTCTGAATCGAATGATATAGTACTTCTCTCTCGGCTATGAGGTGGACACCCCATAGTACCATTACCAAATTGGTCAATGTAGTGACCATGCATTATTTTATATTTTTAATGTTATGAAACTCATGGCCGAGAGAGAAGACATGGTCTATATGATAGAACATTCAATTCTGAATCGAATGATATGGTACTTCTCTCTCGGCTATGAGGTGGACATCTCATTATACCCTTTGCAAATTGGTCGTTGTAGTGACCATACATTATTTCATATTTTTCATATGGTGAGACTGAAGGCCGAGAGAGAAGATATGATCTATATGATAAAGCATTCAATTCTGAATCGAATGATATGGTACTTCTCTCTCGGCTATGAGGTGGACATCTCACTATACCCTTTGCAAATTGGTCGTTGTAGTGACCATACATTATTTCATATTTTTCAAATGGTGAGACTCATGGTCGAGATAGAAGACATGCTCTATATGATAGAACATTCGATTCTGAATCGAATGATATAGTACTTCTCTCTCGGCTATGAGGTGGACACCTCATAGTACCATTACCAAATTGGTCATTCTAGTGACCATGCATTATTTCATATTTTTCATTTTGTCAGACTCATGGCCAAGCGAGAAGACATGGTCTATATGATAGAACATTCAATTCTGAATCGAATGATATAGTACTTCTCTCTCGGCTATGAGGTTGATACCCCATAGTACCATTACCAAATTGGTCAATGTAGTGACCATGCATTATTTTATATTTTTAATGTTGTGAAACTCATGGCCGAGAGAGAAGACATGGTCTATATGATAGAACATTCAATTCTGAATCGAATGATATAGTACTTCTCTCTCGGCTATGAGGTGGACACCCCATAGTACCATTACCAAATTGGTCATTCTAGTGACCATGCATTATTTCACAGTTTCCATGTTGTGAAACTCATGGCCGAGAGAGAAGACATGGTCTATATGATAGAACATTCAATTCTGAATCGAATGGTATGGTGCTTCTCTCTCGGCTATGAGGTGGACACCCTATAGCACCGTTAGCAAATTGGTCATTGTAGTGACCATGCATTATTTTACAGTTTTCATGTTGTGAAACTCATGGCCGAGAGAGAAGACATGGTCTATATGATAGAGCGTTGAATTATGAATCGAATGATATAGTACTTCTCTCTCGGCTATGAAGTGGACACCCTATAGCACCATTAGGAATTGCCTAATTGTTGTAGATCTTAGTTTATTGTTTGTGTTACACGGAATTGAATTTTTGATATGCAGTTTTCGTTTTGAACACTTGGTAACTGTTAGATTGTTTGTTTTTAAGGAGTATTTGATGGTAACTAAGGATTAAGTATTGGTATTTTCTGGATTGTGTTAGGTATTTTCTGGATTTTTTTGTGATTGGTTACTTTAATGATGAATATGATTGGTCGTCGTGGTAGCTTCACATCGATTGAAACAATTCACTTTTCAGTCTTTAGAATATATGTTTTTTAGTATTATTTTTTTCAAATATATTGCCTATCGAGAGATTCTCACAAGGAAGATTGAACAAAAATCGTCTTCGATAACGAAGCAGTGGTAAAAGGGATCCATAAAACGACAACAGCTATTAACATGCTATTTTTAAACGAAATTAATATGTAATATATTTCAGACATGCGTCAAAATTTATTGCCAATAGATAAGAACGAAACAACAGCTGAAATAATCTATTAGGATAAAGTATTCTATTATTATTTTTTGATTCATTGTAATGTAACTGTCAATCTCAAATTTGATAGAGTTTTCACATGATTTAACTACTAAAAATTTAATTAAATTATTAATGTAATGATTGAACTACCTTGAAGCAATATATACAGACAAAGAGACTTTTGAAAAGCACACATTTCATTTTTATTTTCGTTTCTTTCTATCAGTAGTACAAGAGTTGATGAAGTATAAATGATATACATCACTTACATTCATAGGTATATTTAGGTGACCAGTATGTGAAAGTACAAATCCTAACATTTGATCTTCAAAACGATTACCGCTTTCACCACGTAAAATACCAATTGGAGTGCTGGCACTTTCTTGTAATGGAATTCCAAAAGTGTTACGTAAATACAAGCGCCCATATTTTGCATATATAAAATGAGCGAATTCATGTAAATATTTAATGCCAATCATTATTGAATAACTAGCTTGTAAATGTGTTGGCGCTTTTGTAGCTTGACGAATGAGCTATAGTAAAAAAAAAAGAATAAGAATTGCAATATAATTAATCGCTATATTTTCATATATACGGGTAGTGCAGACAAATAAGAAACGCCTAAAAGAGAATGAAAACACGTCTTTCTTCTAGGTTTGCTCGCAATACGTATAAAACCTTCTTGAATTGTTTCCATTTTCATTTCACGCGGAAATACAAGTTTTACTTCAGAATTGAAGATAAAAGAGGATGAAAAACGTTTGAAACGGATTTCGAGTACCATATTCCTCATTATAGTATGACAGCCATACATTAACAACATGGCAAAACCTTACTGTACAAAGAAAAACAAATTTTTTTCTTATTTTTTTTTCAATAAACTTTTTTATTTCTCGATAGGTAGTTGAGCTAGGATCAGCTAAATGATATTAGATCGTTCCCGAAATTTTCGAAGCCAAGCCGAAAAATTCCAAAAATAACCTAATATTGCTTAGCCAGCCATAGAGTAGATTTCTTCTGCTACTTTTTTTGATCCTTGTTTTTAATTGGATTTTTTCTCTTGAGACAGGAAGACAATTTCTTCGAACAACTAGAGAAGGAATATAATAGTAAAAAATCTACTCTATAATTGACTAAATAATATTAGATTGTTTTCCAATTTTTTCGATTTAAATTCAAAAATTTCGGGAATGATCTAATACCGTTCTCAGAATTTACGAAATCAAGCCGCATTGAAATGTGTCTCGGTGAAAACGAAGCGAAATGCTTCCATATCTTCAAAAATACCCTTGTAAAATCATTTTAACATTTTTTCCATGTAAACACGTTATAAATCGTCATTTCGGATATTTCTTTTTATTATGTGCAGTCCATTCTAAACGGAGAGTGCTTTAATGCATTATACATATGGATAGTTCACTGAATTGATCGAGATAACGTATTAAGACGAATGAAGAATAGCTACAACTCCATACACCTTGGAATTACAATCAATAGTAAAATACATTATTTACTATAATCAATAACGAACTTCAGTAATATAAATTCATAGAAAATCAGAAGTTAAAGAGTATAGAATAGTAGTAAAATTTTATTTCCTTCTAAAGAATGGATTCATTGTAATGTAATTGTAAATAGTCGAACGACAGTTTTTGAATGGAATTTTTTTGAATGCTTTGTTTTTTGTTCAAAATAGCGAAGAGATCATTTAAAACAATACGAAAGAGATAACTTCAGTGTTGAGGTTTTCATCTATTTTAAATTGTGAAATGCCACCTATTTCTTCTTCACTATAGTATATTTTTTCACTGTTTGGAAGGTAAAATAGAACGTTAACCCTTTGGGTCCGGGATTATTTTTATATAGTAAAAAGGACGAGAGACGGCTGACAGGTAAATCGGCCCTATAAAAATTTTTTGATTCGAAACGCCAACTATGTTATACCAAACGAAAGAGCTCGATGAGTTGAGCATTTCTTGTGACAGAACTTGGTCTTTTAAATGAAACTATGAAGAGTTCTGAACGTGACAACGACTAAAATGACTGAAATTTTACAAGTTAGCTTACTCAGAACTCTTCATGATCTTATTTAAAAGACCAAGTTTCGTCACAAAAAGTGCTCAATGCACCAAGCTCTTTCATTTGATATAACATAGTTGGCGTTTCGAATCAAAAAATTTTTATAGGGCCGATTTGTCTATAAACTGTTTCTCGTCCTTTTTGCTATATAAAAATAATCCCATACTTAAAGAATTAAGAGACAACCAATAATCATAAGTAAGTATAGATAATCTCAACGCACAAATATCCTAAACATAAATCTCCATGCAATTCATACAATTAAATAATCAACAGACTGTGTTTTTTAAGTTATTCAGGCTCCGAAATCTCAGGACGCGAATTTGCGTCACCCGGACTCGAAGGGTTAAAAAGATATCACTTGAAAGCTGTTATACGACTTATACTCGCATAGCAATTAATCCATTACTTATATGAAAATAAAACTATACTACTATTCTGTGCTATTTATGCCATAATCTTTTAAGAATAGACGTTTCTGAAATCTGTTACTTATTAGTAAAGACTACAATTTAGTATTGATTCTAATATTATAATATGTGAACTGTAGTCCTCTTTCGCTAGTTCTAAACACAATTCTTACTTATTAGTTTTTTGTAAAAAATTCTTTCAAAATTAAATATTCAAAATAAAAAAAAGCAGAATGAACGTCACAATATACTTTGACTATAGAAAACTATTCATCTAAGAAATATTCCATGGTATTTCTACCACGTTTACATCGAGTATTTCAGAATTCGATGAAACTTTCAGGATTTGTAGACCATATTGAAATATGAAAATCGCCAGAACTAGTTTTCTAAATTTCATTAATAAATATGGACATATCGAGCATGATATTTCTATGATTTTCAGAAAAATCATAAAAATTAAGATTTTTGTGAAAAATCATTTTTTATAAGATTCTTTCAAAATTTTCAAAATAAATACTTAAAATCTTTACAATATATATGTATTATACATATTCTGATTGCTTCTGATCTCGACTACATTTTGACTACAAAATATTGCGATTTTGTCAATATCTTGATAATATTGTTCTTTTATGAATGGAACACACTGGCAATGCAAAAGTATGTTTTCTTGAAATAAAAAAATGTACGAAAAAATGGAATTACAGAGCATAGCCATATATAGGGTTTTGTAGAGAACCACTGGCTTTACAAGATGCACTGGAACCGGATCGTCGCGTTTTTGATTTGACAAAGTGTGAAAAACGAAAGATTAAATAGTAGCATTTTTTCTATATTTCAAAAGAAAATACTTAGGGTGTACCAAAAGTTGTGATCATGGTGTTACTTAGCCATATAGTAAGCTTTAAGAAACTTTCTTTCTATATAGTCTCATAGAGAAAAGAATGCTCTATTTTTCTATGCTATTTGATCATATTTCAACTAATATCATGATAATAAATTTTCGATAAGACTCTTTTCGTTATCATTTGTGCTCGCAGTACTAGATCAGAACGGATGAGGAGCGTTAGTTTTCAGTCTCTCAATCCATTGTATTAACAACCACAATATACCATAAGATGCAGCGTAAAAAGCTCTACAATTGACATAAGACTACCTACTTTATAATTGCACTTTTCGTTTTCAAAATAAACAAAGTTTTGAGGGGCCAAATTTTGGGCATTGAAAAAATCGATTGCACAGAATTTTCTTTCTTTTGAAAACAATTACAATAGGCTTTACTATGAAGATTGGAGAACTTTTCGCGCTGCATCTTTTGGTGTATTTTGTTTTCTTTTGATAAAGCATATCAGTGATGAAACAATGACATAACAAAAAATAATAATCCCCGCGTATCAAAAACATTATCAATTTCACATACCTACTGTATTTTGACTTTTTTATTCGAACGGCAACAAAATACAAGACAAGTACCCACTCCAAATAGTGTATAGTATCTATAAAAAAGTTTCAGTTCAGTCAAACGTAGCATATCGGAGGAGTAAAAGGTGGTAGTAAGGTGAAAATTGAGACAATATTTGCAATTGTAACCTTCCATCCAGTATCTCATAGAATACAATGTCTAGGAACTTTGAGTCTATGACAATTTGTGCTCTACTCATTAAGATCTATCTTTCCTGAAAATTTCAAAATTTTTCGAGAGGTCATTATTTAGAGATTTCAGTAGGGAGAGGGGGTATTTTTACGTTTCTACGTAAAATCTGGTTGTTGAAAGAAGACGATTAATACGAATATAGAGAAGAAGGTCAATCGAAATTACTTCAAAAAAAATGTCGTCAATTTTTACAATTACTTCGACTTTTCTATGGATTATGGATATTTCAGGTTAAATACACTTCGTCACGGTCATACTGTGCTGTACTAGACACTTTATATATAGGGTGTCTATGATCCAAAGAAAAAGCAAATTTCAACATACTAATTCTTTTTCATTTCCAGTTGACAGAAGATTAAAAAACAATAATATCGACACTCTCGCTCATCCTTTTCCCTTTCTCAACAGATACTTTGCCGATAAATGAGCGTGTTTATCGATGCACACATATACTATATGAAAAATTAGAGAAGTGATCAATCGAAATTATTCATTATAAGTCCTAGACTCGAAAGCTTGCTATTTCATATGAAACAAATTTAAATCTGCTTATTTGTGGTAAAACACTGGTTTTTTGGATTTCTCTTATCTGCGATCTAGTACACAAAACTATCGGATATTTCTATTTTAACAAGATTTCTAATGCTTTGGTTTCAGTGACATTACAGTATATCAGGTCTCAGTGAAACGCGTTGTTGTTGAAAAAAAATAATAAACAAATTTAAACGATGAATTCTTTATTGATTCTAATTGATATTCAAAAATGCATTAAATGTATCAAATCATTACTTTTTGCCTAGTAAGTATTTTAAAACCTATTTATATAGGAACAAACCCGCTTTAATGAGTTCAAACTTTTGATTTAACGTACGAATGCGTTGAAACATCATATGAACATTTATTCGTCTGCACGAAAAAAAATTCTGTCTCATAATTAGATATTCTAATTTCTATTATTAATCATCTTTATTTATTTAGGACATATGTCTCTGTCTTTTTTTGAATGAAAACAAGAGCAACAAGCTTTAGAAAGGAAAAAAATATATAACATGATTTTGAATAATATAAGAGAAGAATTGATCGAAACTAACAGAGCTCTACTTACTTGTGAGTTCCTATAGATGTGATTAACTTGATCTTCTCCAACTATATACAAACCATATGCTGTACTAGTTACAGATTTTTTAACGTGAAGCATGGATCTAATTTGTTTATTATCTTTAAATATTATGTTAGGCCATTGACTTGATTCACGTATTCCCAGGTCGCATGATACGGTCTGTATACGGTTCCTCATACGGCCGTAATAATGGGCACAGAAATACGAACCGGTACTCCATTAAAATAGATCCGTATACGGTCGTAATGTCACAGTATACAGCTCTATGTTAATCGAGACGTTAACACAGGGTCGGATACTGTGACATTACGACCGTATACGGATCTATTTTAATGGAGTGACGGTCCGTATTTCTGTGCCCATTATTACGGCCGTATGGCGGACCGTATCGTTCGACCTGGGTTATATTAAACATTTCATCAATCTGACTATTTGATGGATTCTACAATAACAATTAAAAAACAAACTCATCTACGAACGAAAATACAGAAAAAAAGAAAATTTACCACTTCCGTTGTAAACAGAATATGATTTGATGGTAAAAAATGATCTTTTAACCAATATGCGCATTGTGGACATTCTTGAAGTACGAATTCAACTAATGACAAACCAATATGTAAAGCCAAACAATTTTGTATAATGTCGGCATCCTCATTACAATGAGAATCTAATTTAAGTTGAATTTTTTGTTGATGAATTGGTAACGTGATCATCAATTTAGAAAATTCTTCAGTCATGCTGGAAGATGGTTTATTATTAAGAATAATAATATCGGGTGTTTTTGATGACATTTAATAGGAAGAATCTGAAAAACGGATAATAGGTACAAGATAACGTTAAAATATTCATTTATTGAGCATTTGAATTTAGCTACTGACTCTTTGATTATTATAAGTTTATTCGTAAGTAATAAATATCCGAAAGATAGACTCATATTAGTACATCTTATAAAGAAAAAAGTACTATTCAACTTTACTTATATGCATAGCTCTCTGTCTTGATAGATACTTGAAAACAGTCTGTGACGAATTATTTCGCTCTATAATCTCATCATGAAATGTGAGATATTCCGTTGTGTACAAGAGAAGCTTATATTCCAGCAAATAGTAAAACGTTTTTGTCAGAGTAATAGTACATAGTCTAGTGATATAAAGCAATGGAAGAAATGCCAATCAATGTCGAATGCACTACGTGTCGCGACACCTAAGACAAGACTCATTTTTGAAATCTCATATTTATTGCCTATGAAGTACATCACTAATAAAGATTATTTATGAAGTCACATTCTTCTGACGTAGTATAATTATGGAACTAAACTAAAGTAAAGGAATTGATTTACTGATATCTTTCGTTTGTATTTATTCTCACACAAAATTGGTTGTACTATGATTCAATTCTGCGTGTAGTGTAGCACCATCGTTTGTGTGAGACTGAACTTTCACGAAAACAAAATACATAGGTAAATATACCTTTTGTTTCTATACGTTTTTATTAATTTTTTTTCGGACCTTCTATTCGAACTAAGTGCATTAGTAAATATCGATCTGTATATTGATTGGATGACTCATGTATATATGTACACTGACTATAAGTTGAATCCATCATTCTGTATCATATTCATCCTCTATACATGTCATAGAGAGTGGTACTTCTTCAGATGAACGACACCCTCGCCTGATTGATTACATATATGAAGAGGAAAAGAAAAAAAATAGGACGAGAGATGGCTTATAGTTCCACATCAATGATAGCTATCAATTAAAACAGTATTCAAATAAATACTTAAAAATATTTTTTTTAAAATTACACAGACAAAAAAGAAATTTAGTAATAAACACAGATGAAAATAAATCTAAAATTCCTGATAACGGCGTATCTTTTGGTGTATTTCCTATTGAAAAATTTTATGAGAAGATAATAAAAGTTTTCATTACAAAAATTCGAACATAACATTATTTTACTCTTCTAACACAGTACTAATGAATTATTTCGTGGATACATCGAGAACGTATTTATTTGAATAAGTTCAAGTTTTATTATCGAAAAGACAATATGAGAACTGATAGCTCGTGACGAATTCGAGGGATCATTGAATTGATGACTATTGAGCACTTCTCGATATATAATTGAAGAAATCATACAAACAAATTTTACTACTTACTTGTTGTGCTTTATATAAATCACAGTAATCCAATACTAATTCAGTACTTCCATGTCATATCTATGCTGTATATCGTAGATTTTTTCATTTCTTTTTGTCATTGTACGTTTGTATTAAACAGGCCGACTCCGCATCTTCTTTCAGAAATGATCTGGCCTATTTTATCTTTTTGTTTTAGTTTACATTCTTTGTACTACTTTTCTTCGTCTGAGACTTTGTTAGCAGTCTATTTTATAATTTATATCTATTATTAGTCTCGTAGCAACATTGATGGATAATTATGAAAAAAATTCTCAATATAATGAGAATAAATACTATGAAGAAGAAGAAAAGTTGTGATCAAAATCAATATGACGAAAATGACAATGGAACAAGAAATTTGTCGACAGAATCGGTGAAAGTGATACAAAAAATAATAAGATACAAGAACGGAATATATTTTTAGATTTCATTTATGTATGTATGTATTACTCTATCTCAGGGTATTGAGGAGAATTATGCAATATCATCAGAAGAATGAATGATAAAGGTAATAGAAACTACATGCACTAATCTTAAAATGTCCAAAAAGAATAGAAGAAAAAATAAATACTTTTGAAAATATTCGTTCTTTCTTTTTTTCTTCTCACACATTTTAGTGTTAATATGCGTATGTTCGTATTCTTGATCATTCTTTTTTCTGATCATGTTATGTAATATTTGCTGAAAGTTTGCGCTAAAGTAATGTGTGCATGAATACAATCTAAAAATGTACTTTATTTTAGTTTACACGATTTGTTTTATTAGACGTCCGTAATTCAAAATTCAAATAGAATTTTTTTTTGCCTTTTTTATGCATAGTTTGATAAAGCGTGAGCTATCAATCACCAAAAAAGTAGTTTTGAACGCTTATAAACATTCTTTTCTTCTCACCGATAAATGCAAAACAACTAATTAGGTGGATGTCTTTTTTCGTAAAATGTCATATATATTTCAAATTACACAATTTGTTTTGCTTCATTATGCTTGTCAGCTTGTGAATTAGGAGTGGCACATTACTATTATACGAAACTAATGATCATCACTTCGTCAAATACAGAAAATTAACCAGAAAGAGCAAAATCTCTTGAAGAGGGAATGAAAAGTGATTGATTTCTCTTTAATAGATATAACACGACATTTAGCTACAAAAAAAAGAAGAACTAGAAACTCCATCTCAGAAGAGAAAATACATATGGGAATACTTTTTTTCGAATACTTACAATAAATAGTTCACATTAATGACATCTACTCTTGAAAAGTAGACCAAAATTTTATAGGAATATTTTTCATTCTGATAATAGTGTACATTATTCATATAAATATGAGAACTGTTTGATTCTATTCAAGTAAAGTTATCATGTGAAAAAAAATTTGTATATGTCATATGATTCATAAAAACTATCATTACCATTTAGTGATTAAGATAAAAAAAAATAATAACAACAAAAACTAACACCGTTATGCAAATAGACATGACTCATTTTGATGAATAAGATGTGTGAAAGTAAGTAAGATATTGCAACTTTTATGTCATTCGATAAAATATCTGTGTTAGTTTGTGTATT